TTAGGCTCGAAACAGCTGACCTTAGGCTTTCATAAAGGTCAACTAAGAGCAGTTCACTTAAGCACACTCTTCGATTCTCATGCAAATCCCTAGCTAGAGGAATAAACCTACTGGCTACCTGTAGGGATCTACTGCAGAAGACATATCTTGACAGCCATAGGGTAAGGAAAGCAATGTGTTCTACATTAGACACATTGTCTCCTTCAGCATGGTAATGACTGATAAACTTGGAAAAACTTGCTAGTTTGACTTCGAAGTCGATTATACTCGAATGTTCTTCGTTGTCAGGGATATATGTTTCTCCTACTGGCGATAGCCCAGTGATGGCCGCTATGTCGAAGAAGGTAGGGGTAATCATTCCACCAGGGAGATGGAAAGTATTATAGGTATTGTCCCAGAAATAGAGGGACGCGAATAGCAAAGGGTGGCTGTAAGTGAAACCAGGCTTCGACAGCTTAATCAAGTTGTAGATACCTAATTCTTCCCATTGCTGGGATTTCTTAGCTTCTACCTTATTGAACCAGTTTTGGTAAGCAGCGTCGGAGGTGGGGCAAGATCGAAACGGTTTAAAATTACTCTTTACATAGTCTAATACAAAAGGGTCCTTAGGAGGAACAGTTGGATTTTCCATGGTGTTTGGGCCAGAAGATTCTATTGCCTTAGGGGCGTCCATTTTGTTAAACAAGGGTTTGAAACTATAGCAAACTGGGAAAATTTTCCTGGTATCTTTTAAAATTTCAAAAACCGTAAGAGGGCCCATTAAAGCTAACCTCTTACCAGCAGCGATGGTAGGAATGAGTACCTGAGATGCATAAAGCATTTCTTTCTCCTTTGAGATCATCTGGGGAGCAAGAACGGATTGACCTTGGTGAGTGATAATGTTACTTTCCATGATGGTTCCTGCGGTCTTTCCTTTCTTCTTGGAAACCTTTTTTAGTTGGGATGAAGTAGAAGAAGACATTTTTGAAGAATGTTGAAAGCTTATGGTTTTTTGGCGAGAGAAGAAGGATAAAAGATTCAGAATGTGGGAAGAAAAGAAAAAGACTAAGTTGATGATGTTTTATAATGTGGAAGTTTAAGCATCCACTGAATAAGGTTGTGATACGTGGTACTTATGGGTTGGTGTGATGAAGAGGTGGCGTAAAGTTAACATGGGTAATAGGCGTGATTAAAGATAATCATTGTTTTGTAACTGCACCATACTGTGAAGTGGCTCCAGGCGGTTAAGGAATCCAAAAAGTGTTATGATTGACGTGACTGGAGTCAAATGCATTAAATGTTACGATGATTCGAAGGTCGCATCAAAATCTTGTGTAGATGTTTAAAATAAGTATTTCTCAGAGAGATCGAAATACATATTTTAAAGGGGCATTTTGTTGGCTGAAGATTTTGATAATATTATTAGAAGCCAAGTGAATTGAATGTTTCGATCGAAATGAAACAAAGCGTCATGTTTCGAAATAGCAGAAGCAGTGTTTCGAATGAGCATATCAAAGCTTGGAGCTTCGAGTGGCAATTATGGGAACATATCTAAAGAAGTCTCGAAATGACAACAAGGCTGTGTCTGAGAAGTGCGTTCGAAGCGGAGAAGTACCAAAACATTTGAAATTCAAATGCAAGCGGGACATTCGAAGTTTGAAATTTATGTGCTGGAGCATTTGGAGACACGTGGAAACAAGAGAGAGGCATTGTTCTGCATGTTCTGAACGTGGCATAATCTTATAGCAAGACCGTTATGGTCGAATTAGTATAAATAGAAGTCTTAGTATTAGGATTTCGTGTGTCATATCTATTGTACTAAATACTCAGTAAACATTCAAATTACCACATGGCTAGGGAAACGAATGCAAGAGCAATGTACGTATGATCGCACCACATGTTTATGATTTAATGAAAACCTTTTATCATTTCCAGCACTTTCCTTTATCTTTCTGCCAAATACCTTTTACAAGTTTTCTCATTTAAAGTCTTTTTTCGAAATCTTTTCATTGATGCCTTACATTTAAATGCTTTCTTTCCATTTCAAACACTTTACATTTCAGAAAACTGTCATACTTTTCATGCCTTTATCTTCAAGTTTTATCCTTCGAACGCCTCTTTTACTTAAAGTCATTTTACAGATTTCTTGCATTAAACGCTTTCTTCGTATTTCGAATCTTTTACGTTCCAGAACATCTTTTACATTAACTGTTTTTATAATTCGAAGCCATTTACTTGTCTTTTATGCAATTTTACATGTCTTTACAATTAACATTTATTCATGCAATTTAGTTTCGCGCACATATATTTTGATTACACCTTTAGATCTTTAAGAGAGAAATCGAAATAAGTCAAACACCTACACAACACTCTAAATACCAACCATGAATACCTGTTCGATCATGAGAGTTACCCTAATGGCCAATAAGTCCTAGGATCAATCTAGTCGATCCTGCGAGTTACCAGAGAAATTGAATAACAGTCAGTAAGTTTATTCGATAGTTTGGAAGACTAGCGGTTGTTTACCAAAAATCACTGAAAACAGCAGGCTGAGAAGATGCTCGACGAGCATCTTAGATTGGTGCTGGACCAAAAGGGCAAGAGGGTGATATTGCCTGATAGATGCGGGAAGCCCGGATGACACCTATGAGATGTCTTAGACTGGGTCCACTCAAGCTTTCGGGTCAATCCAGAATAGTAGCCCACCAAGTCGTTGCTTCTGGGCATAAGAGCGAAGAGTTTGGTGTCTGCCCGGAAGACGGGGGAATGGAGTTTTCCCATTGTATTTATCTTTCGGGGAGGTGAAACATTTGCTGTCGGGACCATTGAATTTGGAGAGGTAGTGTGTTTTTGGAAACGTGTCGGTTGAGCGGCGCTAATGATGGCCTAGGGCTAGGGTGTCATAATGACGACCCTAGAGTTCCCAAGGCGCGTGTTTTGCACGCGCAGATCTTTCCAGCTATAAATACGAGAGGGACAGGGCGATTAGTATTTTTTTGCTTTCTTCTTCAACTGCTCGCATTAGCTCAACAGTCGACCACCAACATCTGCTCAATCTCTTCGTCCGCGGTTATCCAACTTCATCTCTTCTTCTTCTTTCAGTGAGTTTCCGATTCTCCATTGTTGTATGTTTTGTTTTTTGCTTCTTAGATATCCATGTGGTTAGGATTTGGAGTTCCGTTAGGGAGGAGGCCGTTAGAGACCCTAGGTGGTAGGCGTCGTTCTCGTGGCGCATGGCTGCCCGGGCCTCCGTGGAGCACTCCGGCGGCGTGCTATAGGCGATTCATTTAGGGTTTAATTGTTTTCTGCAACCCGTGCCCGTTAGAATACCTTAGCGGAGTTCTGGATTATTTCTGCGTTTTTTGCCTGGTAGGGCGCCTCAGTGAGGGTTCTGGTCTGGGATAAGATCCTCGTCTCCCAGCGGCCTTCCACATGTTTAGTAGTGGAAGGCTGGTTCTAGCATTGATGTCGAGCTCACCCTTTTCCTCTGCTTTTTAGGTGCTATGGCTGATGATATTCATGTTGTTATTTCAAGCGAATCCACAGAATCTTCCAGGAGCTCTTCGAGTGAGACCAGTAAGAGCTCGTTGAGCATTTTTGAAATTTCTGAGGGGAAGCAAAACTTGGTGGATCAACAGACGGGGGAGCCCGACGTAGGGACGACCTCTCTGGCACGGGAAGGCCTATTTCCTCCCCGAGATGATGAGGATCCCCGAGATTGGGTAGCCAAGGACCCCTGGGAGTGGCAGTCACATTTTTATGAGCACGGGGAAGACGTGTTCACCGATGTTTACGTGCACAAGGAGGGGGCTCGGGAGGAGTGGTTGTTATACATCCCCGGGAAAGACAGCAGAATCTGCTCAAGATAAGACATAAGGCGGATTCCTATGTATGACATAGTTTTCCGGGAGATGGGTCTCCGTCTTCCTTTTCTGACTTTGAAGTGGTCGTTTTCCGGCATCTGCATGTGGCCCCCTTTCACCTGCACCCGAACAGGATTGTGTTTGTACGGGCATTCCAGATAGTGTGACACTATCTGAAGATCGGGGCCACGATCCCGTTGTTCTTCTATTGTTTTCATATTCAGAGGAGCTGGACTGACGGGCGATGGGGATGGGTCTCCCTCAAACAGGGAAATGGGAAGTTGTTCAAGGCCTACTTGGATTCCGTGCGCCATTTCAAAGACAAGTACATTTTAGTGCAGCCCATGTCGACGAAGGCGTTGCTGAATGTTTTTAGGAGTCGGCCGTCTCTCAACGAGGATGGGACTCCTCGTATTAGCGAGCTAGGGGAGCCTACCGCGACGCTAGTCGCCAAGTTTCCATTCCAATGGACTAGCAGACATTTCGAGAAGGAGCTTGGCTCCTAAGTTTGGAGAGAGGGTGAGCTTGGGGACGAGGACCTGTCGAGCTTCACCACTTTGACCTTGTTTGTTGCTCGAATTCCTCCGGTCCTGCGAGTCGGTCAAGGAGGTAGGCCAGTGCTGGACAGAAATGGGGAGCCCGTGTTCGAGCCGGGTCTCATAAACATCCGGAAGCTCCTTGGGAGTGAGGATCCCGTTAAATACCTGGGCATAAATTTTCTTTTTCCAGTATATGGTCGTTGTTTGTTTGACCCATCATTTTACTGACCCTTGTTTTTTCTTTGTTTTGCAGAAAATATGAATCCTGCTCAAGAATGTCTGGCCAAGACATTTGCCGCTCGGGAGAGAAAGGCCAAGAAGGATGCCGAGACTAGCGTGGGGCCAGTTCCTGCTCCTGGACCAGGTGGGTCGTCCTCGGCCCCGTCCACAACTGCTTTATCTCTATCTGTTGTTCCTCGAAGGCGAAGAGGCCTTGACCTGAGGGGAGCATTGATCTTATTGGGGAGACGGGAAAAAGTGCTTATGATCTGCCTCCATGCTGGCTGGAGAGGTCCTTTTTCGAGAGCGCGACACTTCGTCTTCCCAGGGCCGAATCTCTCCTTCTCGAGGGAACGAGTCGTCCAAAAAAGAGGGTGACGCTGGCTCAAGATGTGTGTGGATGGCTGAAGGTTTCCTCGATTGTTCTCACGGGGAAAAATCATTAGAGGAATTAGGTGATGACTGCTTCACTGAATTGTTGTCTAGATCCTTAATTCAACAATCAAATGATGGTGCTCGTGGCACATTGTTTTACATGCATGACCTTATCAACGATTTAGCGACATCAGTATCTGGAAAAATCTATTGTCGGTCTGAATTTGGTAACATCTCTAAAAAGGTTCGTCATTTATCATATATTCAAGAAAAGTGTGTATTTTCGTGAAGTTTAGGCCTTTCTACAATTTTAAATGCTTGCGAAGCTTCCTACCCATTACTTATGAGGAGTGGTCATACAAGTACTTATCCATCAAGGTGGTTGATGATTTGGTACCACTATTTAAAAGGTTGCGTGTGTTATCGCTATCACAATATAGAAACATCACCAGGATACCAGATTCAATTGGCAGTTTGGTGCAGTTACGGTATCTAGATTTTTCCAACACTAAAATCAAAAGTTTGCCTGATACAGTATGTAACCTTTACAATTTGCAAACCTTGATTTTATTAGGTTGCCAAAGTCTCACGGAATTGCCAGTGCATATGGGAAATTTAATCAGTTTACGTCATCTTGATATAAGTGGGACTGACATAAAAGAGTTGCCTATGGAAATTGGTGGACTAGAAAACCTCCAAACTTTGACTGTTTTTTTAGTGGGAAAGCCACATGAAGGGTTAAGTATCAAAGAGCTAAGGAAATTCCCAAACCTACAAGGGAAATTTACCATAAAAAACCTATACAATGTCATTGATGCAAAAGAGGCAGAAGATGCCAACCTGAAAAACAAAGAGAAAATTGAGGATTTAGAGTTGATAGGGGGAAAACAAAGTGAAGATTCACTAAAAGTGAAAGTTGTGCTTGAAATGTTGCAACCACCAATAAACTTGAAGAGCCTAAAGATTAACTTGTACGGTGGGACAAGTTTTCCGAATTGGTTGGGAAATTCTTCATTTTCTAACATGGTGTCACTTGAAATTCGTAATTGTGAATATTGCATGACACTTCCACCGCTAGGCCAACTACCTTCTCTCAAGAAACTGAGTATATCGAATTTGTTGTTATTGGAGACAATTGGCCCAGAGTTCTATTGTGTTGAGGAAGGAGAATGTTCCAATTCTACCTTCCAACCATTTCCTTCCCTTGAGCATATGGAATTTGACAGCATGCCAAATTGGAAGGATTGGATTTCCTTTGAAGTCATAAATTTAGCATTTCCAAAACTTAGAACTATGGAGTTACATAATTGTCCTGAACTAAGGGGAGATTTGCCTAGCCACCTTTCATGCATGGAAGAAATTGAAACAGGAGGTTGTTATAAGATATTGGAAACACCCCATACTTTTAATTGGCTATCGACAATCAAAAGAGTAAGAATTGAAGAAGATACTGATGCTCAAATGTTTGTGACGGACTTTCCCTTGCAACATGCAGCTGCAGAAAGTTACCCAATGTTTATATCTAAAATGATCACGAGTAGTATTTGTCTTACTCACTTTGAACTCTATTGTATTCAGTCTCTCACTGCATTTCCCACAAATGGTCTACCCACTTCATTGCAGTCACTTTATATTAGTGGGTGTAGGAAGTTATCCTTCATGCCTTTCGAAAGATTTCAAAATTACATGTCACTCGTGAGTCTTGCTATCTGGCATAGCTGTGATTCACTTACATCATTTCCACTTGATGGTTTCCCTGCGCTCCAAACACTTTCCATTGAAGGTTGCAGGAGTATGAATTCCATTTATATTTCCGAAAGTCCTTCACGCCGGCAGTCAACCCTCCGATCACTTGCCATCAGATCAATTGAAACACTTAAAGTCAATCTTGGGTTGGACACACTCACCAACCTTGAACGTTTGGATCTGAACTGTTATGGAGAGTTGTCATTTTGTGAAGGAGTTTGTCTTCCCTCCAAATTACAATCAATTAATGTTTATTTTGAAGGAACAAATATGCATATAAAGGAATGGGGTCTCCAAGACCTAACCTCTCTTTCAAGATTGACAATTCAAGAATGGGGTGAAATGGATAACACCTCCACAATGGAATCGTTGCTCCCCATCTCCCCTGTGTCTCTCACTATTAGTAATATGTCCTTTGGGCTTCGACACCTCTCGTCTCTCGAACATCTCCGATTCAAACATCTCAAGTCATTGCCAGAAAACTGCCTCCCTTCCTCGCTGAATTCACTTGAACTTTGGTGTTGTAAACACTTAGAGTCATTACCAGAAGACAGCCTACCTACCTCTCTTAAGAAACTAACCATCACAAAATGCCCATTGTTAGAAGAAAGGTATAAAAGGAAGGAAAATTGGTCTAAAATTTCTCACATTCCTTTCATAAAAATAAATTACCAAGTCACAATATGAGGCAAGTTTCCTTCCTGTTGTTTCAGGCATAATGTTCTTTTTTGTAATTGTTTATTTATGTTCACAATTTAAACACATCTCTAAAGATTTTCATATATATCAACCATCTCATGGTTATTAACTTTATTCGACAATTCTCAACACAAAGTCAATAATCAATCTCTGCTACATTCCTCTATATGAGATTTAATGTATTATTTTTTAAATACAAATTGTTAATGGTTAGTCTTTGATATTTATTTCAGCTACTTTTAAGTAAAGATTGCACAAAGTCAAATATTTTGCACATTTGTTGAATAAAGTTAAACCAAATCTTTTACTACTATATTTAGTGTAATACAGTCGGAGAACTGACTTGGTATTTTGCGTTTTATAGTAATTGTTGCGGATAGACTTTTCTTTTATCCAATAAAGTAAATTGTGAAAAGAACATGAAAGATCTTTTAAAATATTTTCTTGAGTTCAGGGGTAGGTTATGAAAAGGGAAGGTGTTAGCATCCGTTTCATCCGTAGTTATCTACAAGCTCTTAGTTGCTAGCTCACTTTGAAATGCTTTGTTTGAAATGTGTTTGTGATTGATTTTGAAAGTGTTGGTGTGTTTTGAAAGATATTTTGAAGATGATTGTAAGCAAGCAACTATGAACGTTCTACCTACTCGAAAAGTCTTACTTCTTTTCTTCCTTTAGATATTGTTATCTTACCATTGATTGATAAAAAGCCCTATCATTGAATGTGAAGGGACGGTCGTGAGTCATCGTATAGTCATATAATGCAATGTTGTAAGATACTTTAGTAATTTTTGTAAAGAGTCTAAGATCATTTATAAGGCAACTTTGAAGGTCACCGAGGGACTATGATCTTGTATTAGAGGATCGTTGCTAAAGTATCCCACATGCGAGACATGACTACTTATTCTCAAGGCAACAAGTGAGGTTAACCCTAGAGATGCAAGTGTGCAAAGTGTTTGTTTTCCATGCTTTATTTATCTTGAATTAGGGTTTGCTACTTATTGATTTTAGTCTTGTCATACAAACTCTAATTACTATCATTGATATTGAAAGCGATAAATTGCAGAAATGTAAAATTCTACGCTATTACATCATTTGGGGATGGGGAATGACAAGTAATTAAAATTTAATTACTATTACAACCATATTGAATAAAAATGTACAAGAAATATAAATATAATATACAAGGAGATTGAAATTGTTTTTGTTTATTTTGGGTTATGAAAAAGGTTTTAATTCTAATTAAACTAAATAAAAAAATAAAATAATTAATTAAAAAAAATAATCTACATTGATTACATTATTTTGAGAAGACAAGTTTTTTAGAGTTTTGTATGAAAAATATTTAATATTAATTAAACTAGTATAAAAATAATTAATTAAAAGAGACCTAAATTTTAAATTAATTTTAATTAAAAATAAACCTAAGTCTAATATTTATTTAATTAAGAAAAGAATTAAATTTAATAAGAAAATATTATTTGGCTTTTTGGTTTAGAAGAATATATTTTTTTAAGATATAAAAGAAATAATCAAAACCTAGTTTCTAATTAGTTTACAAATTAATTAATAATAATAAGATAAAGAGTGATTAAAATAAATTAATTTTTTATGTCAAAAATTAAGTTAATCAAATAAAAACATAAGTCTATATTTTTTATGATTTTATGATTTTATTTTGATGAAATAAATGATTAAAAAGAAAATAATAAATTAAAAATAAGAAGAAAAAAAGAAATTGTTTGGGCTAGTATGCAAAAGCAAATGGGGGGGGGGGGGGGGGGGGGGGGTTTGAGAAAATAGAAAACCCCAGACCCATTGCAAGGAGAACCCAGGCGTCTGCATGATTCAGTGGGGGTGGTCTCTTGTAGGCGCATCATGGGTGGAGTTTTCTAGAGCATTGGGTCTGGTTGTGTGAGATCTGATGGTGATGATTGAGGAGGTGCACCATGCGCGCTGGAGCCTTGCTGACACTGAATCTGTAAGAGATAACAAGGAAAAATAAAAGGGTACCATTGGGGCTCGAACCCAGGTCCCTAAAGTGAACATGCACGCGCTTTACCATTGGGGTGGCTATACATCTGTTAATTTAAATGAAACAATAAATATATAATATAAAACAAGTCATGAAGATGACTTCATCTTCTTCCTCACGCCAGTGACTGAAACACTTATTTTGAAAATTCTATCTCCCTCATTTCTCAACCATTTTCAAAAATGTAAACATGAAATTTGTTTGAAATTTCAATACAAATTCAACCATATAAATAATTAAAGCTATAAATCAAAGATGAATGAGAATTTTGTTGGCCCTAATCTGAAACCTAATTTTTTCAAAAACTTCAAACTAAAAATTCTCCATGCTCAGGAAATATAAATGAAAATTATGGACATGGTTAGCTTTAGGACAATGATATCTATATTTTATCTTTGAAAATCAAAGTCAAATGATGCTTGTATGAAGAGTTCAAAGTTGAGATAACTTACCTCAAAATTGGAAATCGTGTTTGGAATTTGAGCAGCTTTCAAGGTGTTGTGATGATCCAGTTAGCTCCCTTGAACCTCTAGCAAGCTAATGCAAGTCTTACTTTGTGTTGAAAGTGCCTGAGTTGTTCTAGAGAAGTCAAGTTACAAGCTCTGTTTTTTGAGTTTGGAAAGTGATGGAGATGGAGTTACAGTTGTGTAACAGGACTTTGGATTGGTTGTTTGTGATGTAAGGAAGCTTTGTGAATGGTTCTTAGATAAAATGCACGAGTGGTTTGTGATATTCAAATTCAAAGTCAGAATGTGCACAAAAATGGAGTTTTTAGGCAATTCTGAGTTTGTGGAGGTTTGAGAGGTTTACAGGTCTTGTAATCTCGTGTGTTAAGTTGCATAAGAGTGACTTCATATATAGGAAAAGGTTTGGAGACTTGAGATGATTAGAAGTACAAGATCACATGTTTTGGCTTCTTGACTTGTTTTTGAAGTAAGGTTGACAAACATGATTTCAATGCAAAGGTACAAGGCTTGTAGGGTGGTTGATCACTTTAAACAGGATTCTTCTGATCTTGTAGATTTAGTGCATGCAGAAGAAACAAGTTAGAGGCTCAATACATTGACTTTTTCCATAAAGCTTGCTTTTCCAAAATAGAAGTGGTACCTTTCTTCCTAAAATGGATTAATCACTTGGACAATGGAATAAATGCTTGGATAAAAGCTCTAACATTAGTGTAAACATTTAATTATGGAGTGAAATGTAAGTTAGAAGCTTGCAAAGTGGAATTTGTAGAATATGCTTGAAGATTGGATCAAATGTTCTTCATGAAAATGACTTGAAAATCAAGAATGGATGTCCAACTTCTTGCCTTCGATTCTCTTAGCTCAAAAATGATCTCAAAGAGTACTTGGACATTTTGAAAAGCTTGAAACATCTTCTACAACTTTAATGTTTTCCATTTTTGCAAAATCATCTTGGAGCTTGGTGAAAATTGACCAAGAAGTTAGGTCAAAAATCTGGCTAAACTAGTTTAAATTTTCACTAAGTGTTTAAGAAAAAGTGCATGTCTTTATGGCCTTATAACTCAAAATCTAAGCATTTTTTGGACATGAACCCTCTAATAAAAGTTTTTATAATTCATGAATGTCTACAACTTTCATTTTGAAAGTATTCCTTGAATCATCTTACATCATGGTAAATTTTTTGCATGAAGTCATGAAAAAAATAAGACTTAAAACACTTAAAAAAATTTCTAAGTCTTGAAAACTTTGACTTTTCAATATGAATTTTGACTTTATTGATTTATTGATGATAAAGTTTCATATTTTTGCATGTCTTGATGAAATGTGATCTTTGAAACTTAATTTTGATCAAAAAGTCAAAGTTTGACTTTACAATGTATAATTGACTTTTCATCAGTTGACTGAATTCCATCTATCAATCCAATGATCTTGAGAAATGAATTGAACCATTAAATTAGGTCAAGATGATGCATTTTAATCCTTGATATTATGTTTCAAACCAATAATTTATGTATTAGGTCAAAAGTAAAAAATCAAGCCTTCTCAGTCAAAACCCTAATTTTGACCATTTTGTCTTTTTGGTGATTTGATCAATTTTCTTGGGGAATGGTGATCCAAACTTGATCCATTTATACATATAAGTTCAAAATGTTGATATGGGCCAAAAGTCTTGAAGTTTGACTGTAAGTTGACCACAATTGACTTTTTCCCAATACAGCTGATTTTAGGTCATCTGATGAATTGACTGAGCAAACTTGAACGACAAGACTTGAAATTTGACATGAGCAATATTGAAGGTCCATAACGATACATGAAAGTCATATGAGATATTAAAAGTCCAATTTTACTTGTGAAAACTCAAACCCTAATTTGAGGCATCAGTGTTGAGGAGATGTCTTGACCTAATCCATACTTGTGCAAGCTTGAACTATTGAAGATCTTGTGGGAAACATATTGAGAAATGAGAGGGAAAATTTTAGGGTACAACATCTGCCCCTTTTCAATCTTCTTAAACCTGAAGAGTTAGATTGACGGATCCGCCATTCATGACTTAAAGGTGAAAGATGATTGAACACTAGAGTGCCCGGAAATTGCACTCGATGATGTGTTGATTGTACCGTGAATGGGCTTAAAGATGCAAAATAATGAAGAGTTTTTCAGATATGGGCTCACAGATGCCATCCATAGTGACTGTTGATAGAAACTGGATAAGGTATCAGGATAAATCTTTGGTCGACTTATGTTGAAATTGTAGGTATCTTTTGCCTGTCTTTAACTGGGAGAAATAAATCTGATCCATAAGAGGTCTTGTGATTGGTGACTTCACTGAGGAAACAATTATAACCAAAAGAGGCATGCTAGTTTCCTGTTATTAACTGGAGGAAGTGAATCTAGCCAGAAGAGGACTGTTGATTGCCCATTATTAACTTCAAGAAGTAAATTCAACCAGAAGAGGACTTTTGTTTTGTTGATTGACTTTTCCTGCAAGGGAGAGGGTTAGTTGCATGCAGATGTATGCATGGCATAATGATATTCTCAAAATAAATGAGATTATGTTGTATGCATTTGTCATGTATGTAATATGATGTATGCATGTGAAATATTTGTTAGACGATGTGACAGATCTTGAATAGGGGGGGGGGGGGGGGGAGAGGGGTTGAATAAATCCCTTTGAAAATTTTGCACTTTTTGTAAAATTGTTTTTATCAGAGAGCGACAGTCCTCAATCTGATCGACTAAACTTTACATATTGGAAAGATCGGATATGCGAACCAATTTGATGAAAATGATGAGAATAAAATCACAACTAAAATTAAATATGATGAATCACTTTAGCAAGTTTAACAAGGTGTAAGTTATTACCAATTAGTTGCGGAGAAGATAAAGCAAATTTGTGAGTTGTAAATTCACCAAACACTTGGTGTACGTACTACACAAGGTTTGGTTATACTCAAATTGTAGTGATTATAGCGATTCAAATGAATGTTATATGAGTTGTAAATTTTAGTTTGTCACTACAAATATTTTGTATGAATGAGAAAAATTGACAACTCACAAATTCAAGCAAATAGAAATAAAATGCAGAAAACTAAAATGGACACAGTATTTGTTAAGGCAGTTCACCCTGTCGTCCTCGCGTGGGCTACTCTGCCCCCAATTCTAGAATCTAAAATTAGGATTATGAAATTAATTTTGCAAAGTTTGTAAGAGAAGATACAATCACCACAATTCAAAATCACTTGATGAATCTTATATGTTGCACTCCTCTTCCCTTGATTATAGATAAATCAAGTATGCCAAATCTTGAACAAAATCTCCTTCTACCTTGAATGATTTTGAACCCTAGAAATTGGCCCCAAATCCTTCTTCACAATCCTCCGGTTACCGCTACCCGATTGAACACCCCACGGTCTTCCAATCCCTTAGCTCGGATGAATTCAATGAAGCAAAGACTTGTGATAAAAACCCTCAATTTTAGAGGACAAAACCCCAATGATTTTATTCAAGAAAAAACCCACAAAGATCTCTACCCAAATCTGAAATTGCACTTTCAATTCGAACGTTATCAACACAATCCCAAAAACTTGATCAACAAAAATGATTGTGTGTAGTTGTTGATGGTTGGTGAGAGGTTGAAGATGAAGAGAGCTCTTGTGTCTATCTTTAACTTTTTCTTGTTTTTGTTATTTTTGGAAAATATAGGCCAAATAATATATATAAGTGATTTCCATGATGTAACATCATAGCAGAAAAAATGAGACAATTTAGAGATGCGTCGGCTCATGCAGGGTGTACAGAAGGCGCGCGCCTTCCCGAGCGAGAGAGGTTGAAATTCCTTCAGTTATGCGCCGACTCATTGCCTGATGCGCAGACTCATGTTTTCCCAGAACTATGTGTCGACGCATGGAGAAGGCGTGTGCCTACCCGGACATTGCCAAGCCAAAATCTTCTTCTCATGAGCCGACCTAAGGTTCCATGAGCCGGCTCATGCAATCTGTTTTGAGAAAAATACTTGTTTTTGATGTTTCTCACTTGCACCTGTTTGAAGCATGACATATTTGCACAGATAGGTTTTTGAAAAGCATTAAAACTCAGTTCTTTCACCTTTGTCCTCACATACTCCCCCTTTTTGATGATGGCAAAAACCATAAATCGCAAATATGAATCGTCTCAATGGTTGTGAATCATCCAATCATCCTCCCCCTGAGATATTGCATATTTCTGCTGTGTATTCCTTCTCCCCTTTTGACAACATCAAAAAGAAACAAGGACATAGATTAAGAGAACAAAAAAAATAGAATGACCAATATTTTGTAACTTTATAAAAAGAACACAAACTAACGTATACGAAGCAAGTGCAAACGAAAATAAATGTTTGCACATGTTTGAAAAATGAAAATATCTAAGAAACCAAAAGCAAGTAAATAACATATACACTTTCTTGCCACTACCTCACAAGACAAAAATGATTTGTCTCCATTAGTCACAATTTGTGTGAATAGTATCATATTAGATATTGTATTACCATATTTCAATGATCCTTTACTAAAAAAAGAAGCATAGTAACACAAATTCCATGGCTCTTTCTTGTTACACCTTCATCCCTCCTTCTTTACCCTCTCTTTATCTACACAATCATCGTTCATCACATCTTCCTCTTAGAGTTTCTCATATAAATGCTTCCTTAAAATCTTCTGATTCAAAAGCACCATCATCAACATCATCACAACAAAGTGTGCCATCTTCAACCCCTTATGTTGAATCTAGGCCACATGAGCCTGCTTTTAACTATGCCGTTGCCAACACTAATGGCAACCCACTTCTTAGGATGGTTCAAAATACAGAATCTTCCATTGAAAGGGTATTTTGGTCATTTCATTTGTAACTGTTCTTGTTTTGATCTAGTTCCATTAATTTTTGTATCATGAACTATATTCATATGGTCTACATATTATAGAACTAGAATCAACATGTTATAGGGACTAGTTAAAAACAATGAGGACCAATAGTAAGCATTCATATGCTTTAGGGACCAAAACCAAATAAAACTTTTTGCAGGCACTAAAGGCAAAGACTTGTGTATTTGCCTAAAGGAAAAGGATATTTGAAACATATATTTATATTGGCATGTAAGTTAATGTTTACTTTAGTTTATTCATGGTGAAGAATAATAGAGGAAAAAGATATTTAAAATACATATTTAAATCACATTGTAATTGGGGTCTGATGCGGTTGCCAAGGCTACCACATCAGCAACATTGCGGTTGCGGACGCATGCCTCTGTGATTGTCATGATATTCAAATTTAAAATAGACTTATGATGATGTCAATTGAGATGACAATGATCAAAGTATTTTGCAATATGAAAAACTGTCATGTGTTTATATTATGAAATGAAATCAAAATTTTCTTTTTCAGTATTCTGAACAAAGTGATATATTACTAGTATGGAGTATTACCTTTTCTGATTGAAATCTTCTTGGTTTTGTGGTGATAGGTGATTTTCGACTTCCGTTTCTTGGCACTCTTTGCTGTTGCAGGTTCCTTGGCTGGCTCACTCCTTTGCTTTCTAAATGTACAGTTTCTCAACACCTTTAGTAAATGAGAAACAAGATGCTATAAATTTGTCCACAAAAAATATCAGGGTCTTGTTCGGATTAGCTCATTGTCTACTTGCATAAGTACTTGTGAGACTGTTCTAAACAGGATATGGAAACAACATATGACACGTCTATAAGCTGTTTTCATCTTATTTCGATAAACTCTTCAAGATAGCTTATGACAACAACTTATAGCTTATATGAAAAAAATTTGGTTTTATTTTAGTTTTCATGTGATAATGTCTGGTAAAATTTAACACGAATTAAGTTTCATATATTTGACTGTGTATATAATCTTGGATGATTTCAGGGTTGTGTTTATATTGTTGGTGCATACAAAGTGTATTGGTCAAGCTATGTCAAAGGAGTTCACACCGGAAAGATGGTTCTGCTTCTGGTTGAAGCAATTGATAATTTATGAATTTTTTTTCTCTTCAATATTAGCCTTTACTTCAATTTTTGTCGGAATTTCTTATAAGACTTAGTTTACTACTTTCATTAGTCTTTTTTTTCCTGCTAATAAAATGCATGAATCTTGGTGCTGCAGATGTTTATCTTGCTGGTACTGTTATGTTGATTTTCGGTATGGGCTTATATGGATTGTTCATCAGCAACACACCTCCTGATGTGTCAGCTTCTGTCGACCGTGCCCTTAAAGGATCCTCTCTCTTTGGAATGTTTGCTTTGAAGGTAATCATAAATCCTACAATCTTGTAGCCGAGGATGGTTGCGATTATCTTAACTGTTGAATCATCTTAACGAACATGTATATATTGTCACCTTTTCAGGAGAGGCCGAAGTGGATGAAAATAAGTTCACTTGATGAATTAAAAACGAAAGTGGGGCATGTAATTGTAATGATTCTTCTTGTAAAAATGTTTGAGCGGAGCAAAATGGTTGTAATTGCCACAGGATTAGACTTACTTAGTTACTCAGTATGTATTTTCTTGTTATCAGCATCTTTGTATATTCTTCATAATCTACATAAGCAAGATTAGAATGTAGTATGCACTGTAATATTCTGAATTCATATATATGTAAATGGAGAATCATATGGTTCAAAATTGTTATGGTTGAAAACTTCTGATCACATCAGCTGTGACCTGACATATAATGTTTGAACATCTCTACATTATATGCATTCAGTACCTCATTGTATGCTATATAAAATTTTCAAATAAAGAATTTTTGTAAAATTTATAAGGCTGAGATATAGAATTTTCAAATATTAAAAGTCTTGCCTCCACAACATATACTTTCATGGTTGTAAGTGAACACTTGTATTGTCCACAAAATATCACCGATTAAATCTTCTGTTCAATATGCAACATTTAGAAGAAATGAATCTTGTTAACCAAATGCGGTTGCCGCATATGGTTGAACCTTCTTTTCACACCAGTTATGACATGAATTTAACTCCGATTTAGTAGAAATAATATGCAAGCATTAATTAATATCTGAATCATGCAAGCTTTCAAGATGCCACAATTAAGGTTATGATGCAATATTGCAAGAAATAACATAACTAACAAAGAATACCCAACAGTAGCTTGGTACACCATATTTGACTGTGTGGTTGTGTCATGTCTTTGTTATGGGCCCAGGCACTAAATGAGGTCGAACAATTTCAGTTGATATGGGTCCATAAACCATCAATGTGCTTTGCTTGGCAACAAACAAGTATTATTACTAATACTATTCATTCACATGTGAGTCTTCTTGTGTCTGTCAACCTTTTACGGCCAACCATTCATTCAAAAAAACACTACTCTTATCCATTCATTCACATGCCATTGAGTCTTTTCTCCTTACTTTCAATTATTGCTATCTCTCAATCTTGATAGCTCTTAATCTCTTTCAAAATTCAGCCATTAGTTCCAAATATTCCTTACTTGCTGATTTGCTTAACAAAATCAAAACAAGATGGCTGCAGCTGCAACTATGATAGGAGGTGCTTTTCTCTCTGCAACTGTTCAAACCTTAGTTGAGAAACTTGCTTCAATCGAGTTTCTTGATTACATCAGAAACACCAAGCTCAATGTGACACTCTTGAGAAAGTTCCAAACAACCCTGCTCACTCTTCAGGCTGTGCTGGATGATGCAGAAGAGAAGCAGATCAGCACTCCTGCTGTCAAAAATTGGCTAGATGACCTGAAAGATGTTGTCTTAGATGCTGAGGATTTGATCAATCAAATAAGTTATGATTCCCTTCGGTGCAAGATGGAGAATAGACAAGTTGGAAACAGAACTAATAAGGTGTGGAACTTTCTTTCATCTCCTTTCAAAAACTTCTATAGAGATATCAATTCCCAATTCAAGGTAATGTGTGAAACTCTTGAACCTTTTGCACAACATAAAGATACCCTTGGATTGCAAACAAAAAGTGCTAGAGTTTCTCGAAGACCACCTTCCAGTTCAGGGGTTAATGAATCTGTCATGGTCGGTAGGAATGATGATAAAGACACAATCATCAAGATGCTCGTATCACACTGTGACGCCAGCAAAAATAATAACTTGGGTGTTGTTGCAATTTTGGGTATGGGAGGTATCGGAAAAACCACCCTTGCACAACTTGTTTACAATGATGAAAAAATTGAAAAACATTTTGATTTCAAAGTCTGGGTTTGTGTATCAGAGGACTTCGATGTTGTGAGAGTAACCAAGTCTCTCCTTGAATCTGTTGTTAGAAATACAACATCTGCTGCTTCAAAGGTATGGGAAAGCGATAATCTTGATATTCTTCGAGTTGAATTAAAGAAAAATTCGAGGGAGAAAAGATTTTTGTTTGTGTTGGACGACTTGTGGAATGACAATTACAATGATTGGGATGAGCTAGTAAGTCCCCTCATTGATGGAAAACCCGGAAGTTCAGTGATTATAACAACTCGCCAACAAAAAGTTGCAGAGATGGCGAAGACATTTCCTATTTATAAATTAGACCCTCTATCAGATGAAGATTGTTGGTCTATACTCTCAAAACATGCATTGGGGAGTGATGAATGTGATGCCAGTAAAAACACAGCCCTTGAAGAGATAGGTAGGAAGATTGCAAGAAAGTGTGGAGGATTGCCAATAGCTGCTAAAACACTAGGAGGACTTCTACGTTCAAGGGTAGACACAATGGCGTGGACTGATATTTTGAACAGCAATGTATGGAACTTGCCAAATGATAACATTATGCCGGCTTTACATTTGAGTTACCAATATCTTCCATCTCATTTGAAAAGATGTTTTGCATATTGTTCAATTTTTCCAAAGGACTATCCACTTGATAGGAAGACATTGATTTTGTTGTGGATGGCAGAGGGCTTCCTTGACTATTCTCACGGGGGAAAATTGGTAGAGGAAGTAGGTGATGATTGCTTTGCTGAATTGTTGTCTAGATCCTTAATTCAACAATCAAATGATGGTGCTCGTGGCAAATTGTTTTACATGCATGACCTTATCAACGATTTAGCTACATCAGTATCTGGAAAAATTTGTTGTCGGTCTGAATTTGGTGACATCCCTGAAAACGTTCGTCATTTATCATATATTCAAGAAGACTATGATATTTTCGTGAAGTTTAGGCCTTTCTACAATTATAAATGCTTGCGAAGCTTCCTGCCCACTACTTCTAGGAGGTGGTCACACAATTTCTTATCCATCAAGGTGGTTGATGATCTGCTACCACTATTCAAAAGGTTACGCGTGTTATCGCTATCAAAGTATACAAACATCACTAAGTTACCAGATTCAATTGGCAATTTAGTGCAGCTGCGGTATCTAGATCTTTCACACACTAGAATCGAATGTTTGCCTGATACAGTATGTAACCTTTACAATTTGCAAACTTTGAATTTATTATGTTGCTACAATCTCACTGAATTGCCAGTGCATATGGGAAATTTAATCAGTTTACGTCACCTTGATATAAGTGGGACTAACATAAAAGAGTTGCCTATGGAAATTGGTGGACTAGAAAATCTCCAAACTTTGACTGTTTTTTTAGTGGGAAAGCGACATGAAGGGTTAAGTATCAAAGAGCTAGAGAAATTTCCAAACCTACAAGGAAAGTTTACCGTAAAAAACCTACACAATGTTGTTGATGCAAAAGAGGCAGAAGAAGCCAACCTGAAAAACAAAGAGAAAATTGAGGAGTTAGAGTTGATATGGGGAAAACAAAGTGAAGATTCAATAAAAGTGAAAGTTGTGCTTGAAATGTTGCAACCACCAATAAACTTGAAGAGCCTAAAGATTAACTTGTATGGTGGGACAAGTTTTCCGAATTGGTTGGGAAATTCTTCGTTCTCTAACATGGTGTCGCTTGACATTGATAGGTGTGAATACTGCATGACACTTCCACCGCTAGGCCAACTACCTTCTCTCAAGAAGCTGAGTATATCGAATTTATTGTTATTGGAGACAATTGGCCCAGAGTTCTATTGTGTTGAGGAAGGAGAATGTTCCAATTCTACCTTCCAGCCATTTCCTTCCCTTGAG